TCAATGCATAAATGGACACATTTGAACCAAGGCATGGGCAAGAAACCCTATGACATTCATATATAAGTCCTAACAAAGTCTAGGTGAATTTTGGCATGATGTCTCCTAATTACGTGATAGTCATTCACCAAACCATCAAAACAAACCAAAAACAACAAGAATCATTCTCCAACAACATCCAATTCATGAATTCCTCAATCATCAAATAGTAGCATGAACACCATAACATGAAATCAACATTTTTAAGCAAATACATTAAGATCAAATAAAACAAAGGTATACATGAATAATCATGATAACAACATGTTCTACTATCAATTACCAATCAATTGCAACATATAAATCCAAAGAACCAAGAATGAAGCAAGTTATTACTAACAATTTCAAGAATACCACAATTCATATTTAAACATGCAAAACATGGTATAACTATTAGAAATTGAAGAAATGAACTTGTAAAAGTTAAGAAAACCATACCACAATTGATTGTAAGTACGTAGAAACCCAAAAACACCAAAACACTCAAACCCTAGAAATTGAGGGAAATGAAAAGATGGAATTTTTGTGAGGAATTTTTGGTGGAGATTGTAGAAATGGAGTAGAGGATGGAAAATAAGTGAGAAAAAGAGAAGATTGGAGTGATTTTGATGGAGGTTTGAGGTTGTAGGAGGGGATTACAATGGAGGTTAGAGTGAGAAGGAGGAGAATAGAGAAAGAGAGAGAGGGGGTCGAATGAAATGAATTCGAAAAGAAGAGCAACCCCCTTTTTTTTTACAATTCGACAAAGGTTCGGCCGAACCATGGGTAAGTTCGGTCGAAATCTTGAAATGGTTCAGTCGAATTTGCTCAAGGTTCGGTCGAACCTTCTCTCTAACTTGAAATTCACAAAAATGGCAGAAAGTTTTCAAGTTTTAATTCCAGAGCAGGTGCGACCGAACACAGCAATGTTTGGGCGAACTAAGGTTTGGTCGAACCTCTCCAAGGTTCGGTCGAACCTACTCTAGATTATTAATTTCTGCAATTCTGGCAGAAATTTTTCAACTTGAGGTTTCAGAGGAGGTGTGACCGAACTCAAGAAGGTTCGGGAAAACCATTCAAAAGGTTCGACCGAACCTTCAGGGAGTTCGGTCGAACCACCTGGCTTTTTAAAAAAAATGCCCATTTTCCAACACAATATGCACAAACACCCCTCTTCAAAACACACTAAACACCATACCATCATGCTAAGGCAAAGCATACCAAAAATTCCAACACAATCAAAATTCAAAAATCTAACAATCCAACAATGTAGATAGGAAAATAACAAAGCATCAAGAAAGGAGGAAAGAGAAAAGAGTTAGAGACTCGGGTTGCCTCTCGAGAAGCGCTTCTTTATGAGGTCACTAGCTTGACCATGAGAAAAATTCTTCAAGTGGGAGGCTTGGGATCCAAAGGATCAAGCATTATACATTCGATGATACCAACTTCTTCCTTGCAAAAGTAATGCTTTAAACGATGACCATTAACCATAAACTTGTTACCATCCACATCTAACTCAAAGGAGCCATAAGGAGTAGTCTTTGATATCACAAAAGGACCCGACCACTTTGATTTGGGTTTACCCGGAAACAAACGAAGCCTTGAGTTGAAAAGCAAAACCTTCTCTCCAACCTTAAAGTTCTTGTTTTGAATATGTTGGTCATGCCACTTTTCGGTCTTCTCCTTATATAACCTTGAGCTCTCATAAGCATCATCTCTAAGCTCTTCAAGTTCATTGAGCTTAAGCAATCTCTTCTCACCGGCCAACAATAAATCCATATTTAGCTCTTTGATGGCCCACCAAGCCTTGTATTCTAACTCAACCGACAAGTGACAAGCCTTTCCATAGATCAATCTATAGGGGCTCGTGCTGATTGGAGTCTTGTACGCCGTCCTAAGAGCCCATAGTGTGTCATCAAGTTTGAGAGACCAATCTTTCCTTGATTTGTTCACCATCCTTTCAAGAAGATTTTTGATTTCACGATTCGAGACCTCCACTTGTCCTTGAGTTGAGGGTGGTAAGGTAATCCAACCTTGTGATGAACGCCATACCTCTTGAGAAGAGCTTCAAATTGCTTTTTGGCGAAATGGGAGCCTCCATCACTAATTAGCATCCTCGGAACTCCAAACCTAGGAAAAATGATCTTCTTTAGAAGCTTAAGCACAACCTTGTGATCATTGGTAGGTGAGGGTATGGATTCAATCCATTTCGTCACATAATCGACCGCTACCAAGATATATATATTCCCACAAGAAATAACGAAAGGCCCCATAAAATCCACCCCCAAACATCGAAGGGTTAAACTTCTAAAACACTTTGTTGGGGCATTTCGTCCCTCTTGGTAATGCCTCCGCTCCTTTGACATCTATCACATTGCGCAACGAATTGGTGGGTGTCTTTATGCATTGTCGGCCACCACAATAAAGATTGAGAGATTTTTGCCACTGTTTTGTCAACACCACCATGCCCTCCACATGGTAGTGAATGGAAATGCTCAAGAACTCCTTGGATTTCATGATCTAGAACACACTTCCGATAAAGGCCATCTCTACATTGCTTGAATAGGTATGGGTCATTCCAAAAGTACCTTCTCACTTCCTTGAAAAACTTCTTCTTTTACTGAGAAGAGTACTCCGGGGGAACCACTCCACACGCAAGATAGTTGGCTATATCCGCATACCAAGGGGTAGAAGTTGACACCAAAGCCATGAGAGCCTCAAATCCTATCTCATCATTAATCGGTACATCCTCCTTGTTCTCAAAAGGTAGCCTAGACAAATGATTCGCTACATAGTTCTCCGCTACCTTTTTGTCCCTTATTTCCATGTGAAAGTCTTGGAGAGAGATAACCCAACGGATCAAGCGAGGCTTTGCTTCTTTCTTGGTCATGAGATACCGCACCGCGATGTGATCCGTGTACACAATAACTTTTGAGCATATAAGATAGGACCGAAACTTATAAAAACAAACACTACCGCTAACATCTCTTTCTCCGTTGTTGTGTAATTCTTTTGAGCCTCATCTAGAGTCCTACTTGCATAGTAGATGACACACGATTTTCCTTGTTTCTTTTGACCAAGAACGACACCTACTGCAAAGTCACTAGCATCGCACATTAGCTCAAAAGGCAAGCTCCAATCCGGAGCTTGCACAATGGGAGAAGAAATGAGAGCTTCCTTGAGCTTACGAAACACCTCAAGGCAAGCCTCATTGAAGCTAAAAACAACCTCTTTTTTGAGTAATTTGGTTAAAGGTTTAGCGATTGAAGAAAAATCTTTGATAAACCTCCGGTTAAAACCGGCATGCCCAAGAAAAGCCCGTACCCCCGTGATGGAAGTAGGAGGGGGCAACTTTTCAATCACAGAAACCTTGGCCGGATCAATCTCAATGCCATTTTTTGAAACCTTATGGCCGAGGACAATACCCTCCTCGACCATAAAATGGCACTTTTCCCAATTTAAAACCAAACTCGTCTCTTGACACCTTTTAAAAACTTTTTCAAGGTTAAAAAGACAATTGTCAAAAGACGAGCCACCAACACTAAAATCAACCATGAAAACTTCAATTTCTTTTTCAAGCATCTTAGAGAAAATGGAAGTCATGCATCTTTGAAAAGTAGAGGGAGCATTGCATAATCCAAATGGCATTCTTTGGTATGCAAATGTTCCATATGGACATGTGAAAGTAGTTTTCTCTTGATCACTTGGATAGATAGGGATTTGGAAAAATACGGAATACCCATCCAAGAAACAAAAGAAAGCATGGTTAGAAAACCTTTCAAGCATTTGGTCCATGAAAGGGAGAGGAAAATGATCTTTCTTAGTGTTTTTGTTCAATCTCCTATAATCAATGCACATTCTCCACCCGGACACCGTCCGGGTGGAGATTTCCTCTCCCTTTTCATCCTTTATTATGGTCATTCCACCCTTCTTTGGAACTACATGAACCGGGCTAACCCATTTTCTATCGGAGATAGCATAGATGATGCCCGTCTTACGTAGTTTCAAAATTTCTTTCTTCACAACCTCTTGAAGGTTGGGGTTCAACCTTCTTTGAGGTTCAATGGAGGTGGAATGATCATCTTTGAGAGAATACGATGCATGCATAAAGAAGGCATAATACCTTTGATATCATCAATGCTATACCCTATCACATCCCTATATTTTCTTAAAACATCAAGAAATTTTTCCAAATTAAGACTATCTAGGGTAGCATTGACAATAATAGGGTATTTTCCCTCCTTATCAAGAAAAGCATATTTCAAAGAAGGGGGAAGGGGCTTGAGTTCTACCTTGGGAGGAGGCTTAGAACTCTCCTCCAATTTCTCCTCCTTGGACTCAAGCTCGATCTCAACTTGTTGTTCAACTTCCTCCTTTGAGGATTCCTCCATTGCCATGACAAATTTTTTAGCCTCTTGAGAGTGGAACTCTTCTTTGCATGTAAGGGCTTCTATCATTGGATCTTGAGGCCTCATCACGACCCTCCCCAAGCGATCTAGCTCTTCATTCACAACATCAACTCTATAGCATTTTTCAACCATGGGGGTCTTGAGCAACTTAGAAAACTCAAAGACAATCTTTTCATCGGCCACTTCACATGTGATGGTGTTTTTCTTGCAATTGATGAGCGCCCCCAAAGTTTTAAGAGCTTTACGTCCCAAAATCAAAGGGGTGTTAACATCTTCCTCCATATCCATCACTACAAAGTCACAAGGCACGTAGATGTGTCCCAGTTGAATTGGAACATCCTCAAGCTCTCCACAAGGTAATTTCACCGATCGATCGACCAATTGAATTGTCTTCCTTGTAGGGATCATCTCTATATTGAGTTTTTGACCAATGGATAGAGGGACTAAACTAACACTTTCTCCAAGATCGGCTAAGGCGCCCCTAGCTTCCATGTTCCTAATTTTCACCGGCAAAGTGAAACTTCCCGAGTCTTTTTCCTTCTTGGGCATCTTATGTTGGACAAGAGCACTCACTTAATGTGGAAGGGTGATAAGCTCATCATTGAGCTTCCTCTTGTTGGTGAGAATATCTTTAAGGAAATTGGAGTAAGATGGCATTTGTGTCACAACTTCAAGAAAAGGGAGGTTGATATGCAAATTCTTCATGACACTAAGAAATTTTGTAAACTTGTCATTCAACTTCCTCTTCGCAAGCCGACCGGGAAAAGGAACCGGTCCATCAAGATTTCTAGCCTCACTAGGAATTGAAGTTGTCTTCTCATTGTCAAGCTTCTTCTTCTCCAAACCTCCTTCTATCTCATCACCCTTTTCTTTCTCACCTCCCTTGTTTTCATTCACACTCTCCTCTCCTTCCTTCTTTTCCTCACTATCCCCTTCATTTGGCCCTTTATAGGAAGTTCCCGACCTCAATGTTATCGCCTTGCATGTATCGGGTTTCGGATTGTGAGATGGGTTAGGTTGTGGTTCTCCGGGTAGAGTGGATGGTGAATTGAAAGGAGTTCTCTCGGCCAATTGAGCTAGTTGTGAATCAACCATCTTGTTGTGAGCTCTTATCTCTTGCATTTGTTGCCCCAAAGATTGCATTTGCGCATGCATGGCTTGGAGGAGTTGAGTTTGAGTTAGCTCCGCTTGAGGTGCTTGTTCTTGATGATTTCTTTGAGGTGCTTGGGTTTGATTGTTGTATTGGTTGTTCCATCGATAGCTTCCTCTTGGGTTTTGGGGTTGAGATGGAGGTGGATTTTGATATTGAGGGTTGGATTTATAGGAAGGTTGAGCTCGTTGGTTCCATTGTTGAGGTTGAGGTACAAATTTGGGTGGTGGTTGTCTCCAAGCTTCTCCACCGCCGCTTCCTCTAAATCCCTCTTGCCTTGTGTTGTATGCCGCTACATGTTCGGGGCTTAAACCTCCACAATAGGATGTATCATGGTTTGTTCCTCCACAATTTTGACAAGAGAAAGAGTTAACTTGAGAAGAGCTTGCTCCACCACTTGAACTTGCATTCACACTCGTGTTCAACTTGGAAAGCCCTTTTGTTAGTTAATCAATTTGATGTTGTAATTGATCAACTTTATCCAATTCGTAAATACCACCTCTCTTTGGAGTGTTTCTTCTTCGGCCCCCCCAAGAGTAATTCTTTGCTACCTCTTCTATTGTGGCTTCAACTTGATTTTGAGGGATCTTGATTAATTGACCACCCGCCCCCGCATTCAAATTGGCTCTTGACATGGGCTCCAATCCGTTGTAGAAAAACCGCATGAGCAACCCTTGATTGTACTCATGGTGGGGACATGATTGTACCAACTCCTTAAATCTCTCCCATGCTTCACCAAGACTTTCATCGGCATCTTGCTCAAATGATGCAATTTTCCTTCTCATTTCGGCGGTCTTCTCCTCAGAGATAAAGCGCTTCAAGAATGCCTTTACCACCTCCCTCCATGTTGTGAGAGTTGTTAGGATTTACTTGCTTTAGCCATTTCTTTGCTCGTCCGGTGAGAGATTGCCGGAAAAGGTGCATACGAATGTAGTCTTGACTCACTTCATTGGTTTGCATTATTGCGCACAATTCAAGGAATCGGTCCAAATGTTCAATAGGTTCCTCACTTGCACTTCCGAAAAATTGCTCCGATTGGACCATTCGAGTATATTGTGGATGGATTGAGAAGTTGGTTTCCGTGACGGGTAGAAAAATCCCTCCTGTGAGCTCATAATCCTCCGGATTTCCGAACTCACGAAACAAAACATCATCCTCTTGTCCCGCCATTGATCCGCGTGGTGAACTTGAAGAGTAAGTATCACTCTCACTATCAAATATATCACCAAAACCTCTTCCCTCGTCTTGATAAAGCCTACGGACTTGTCTCAAGGTTCGGTTGATTTCGTGGTCAATTTGATGTGAGGGTGCTCCTTGAGACCTCCTAAGCATTCACCAAAGCTAAGAAAACAATTATCAATGACAAGGATGATAAAACAAAAAACAAAAAGAAAAGAAAGCAAATTACTCTCACAAAAGCAATAATAGGCGCTAAACAAGCCGCTTCCCCGGGAACGGCGCCAAAATTTGATCGCGGGTTAGATAGGTCGTTTAGCTACTACCCTAACAAAATTAATCATTTATAATACCTAAACCTACACTAAACTAGTTATTGGCAAGTAAAGGGTCGAACCACTAGGGAAGCACGCTAATTCAACATCAAATATCACTAATGCAAGAGAGAAAAGGGGATTGTTTTTGTTGGTTTTGTTGAGTAAGAACACTAAAACTACAAATAAGCAAGAAAATGAAGATTTAAAATCAATAGAAAATGACGCTAGGGATACGGGGGTGTCCAATATGATTAGAAAGAGGTGAATAATGGTGATTATCATGAAACATATGCCAAAGAACACAAGATTCTACCTAAACAATTTATTCTAATGCAATAGTCTAGGCAAATCAATGAAAGAGGTCTACAGTAATAAGGATCATTCTCATGCATCCTATTAGTTACAATAAAATCAAGAGAATAAAGAAGCATAATCCATAAGAACTCCACTTTAATAACTCATTCTCATGCAATCATTAAAATAGAGATGATCCTAATCTAGTTCAAATCACTTTCATGCATTTAAACTAGAAAACATCAAATAGAGTGCAACAATAATCCCAAGCTAATAAAAATCATGTCTTTCATCAATATATGGCATAAGTTCAATCCAACCATCATCATTCATCCAATATCAAATCATATCTTCCACCCCCTTCCCCTAACTAAAAGTTAATCCTAGAGAAGGGAGATTAAACATAATATCAAAACTAGAAATAAACTCAAGAAACTCAAAACAAAACATGATTAAAATCAATGAGATCATTAACAACTAGATAAGCTAATAAGATTGACAAGAATAAGTAACAATAAAACAAATAAATAATACTAAAGGAAAGGAGAAGAGATTACTAAAGAAAGAATTAATGAAAGATGAAAACTTGGATTCTTGCTTGATTGATGGAAGATTAAAACTTGAGCAAAGTTGAATACAATAAAGGATGCTTGAATAACAATCTATTTTCTCTCCCTAGATTAGGCTAAAAGTGTCGAAAATTAATACTAAGTTAATCTAAATTACTTCAAAACGTTCTAAAAATGGGACTTATATAGTCCGTACAGAGCCAGCTGAAATAGAGGAGTGGTCCAACCGAACACATGGTAGGTTCGGCCAGACTACAGGGTAGGTTCGGCCGAACTATTGTAGGTTTGGTCGAACCTCCCTGATCCTGGTCTAGTCTGGTCGAACCACTCTTGAAAAATTACCAAATTGATTCTTGACCCTGCCTCGACGTTCGACCGAACCACAGAGCAGGTTCGGCCACACCTTCAGGAGGTTCAGCCGAACCTCTTTTGAATCTTGCTTCCTTCAGCTTCCCTTGAGCTTAGCTTCCTCCTCTTGAAAACCCCGATGGTTCCTACAAAGCATAAGCATGGAAATTAAAGTAAAGAGTAGGAAAAAGAGGCAAAATATAGGAAAGAAGATGCATAAAGGGAAAGGGAACTAAGTGCAAAGAAAAGGATGCAAACAACCTCAAATGTGGGTAAATGACCATTAAAATGAACCTTAATCGTGGCATAAATGCCACTCATCAAGGGTCTGAAGAACGGGTCAACCTTTAAGTTTGACCTTGTCCAAAAGAGGGTTTTTACCCTCCAAGAGACATTGATAGAGGCGGAAAGCTTTATTCAAGCAACCGACCTCTACTCATCCAACCATCAATCGGACTCCAGGAGGTCCGACAAACAAAAAGAGAGTCTGTCTCCTCAACCGGCTCAAAAAGCTAAAGAGAGAAAAAAGAGAAAAGAAGTTTCGGCGGTTGAGGAACCTGATCAGCCGTCCAAAACGAATAAGAAAGAATTCAAACTGTATATTTCGCGGTATGAATTCAATAAAGACTACTACACCATCTTTTCAGAGGTGAAGGATCGGCTAACCATTGAGAAGCCGAATCCATTGAAGAGTTCCGTTTAATCGTGGAAAAAAAAATGAATTTTGTCACTTCTATCAGAAGGTGGGCCATGACACCAACGACTGCTATACTCTCAAGCTGACGTTGGACCGTCTGGCGGACAAGGGCTTGCTGAAGTCTTATGTCCTGAAGTCCAAAGCGACTTCTAAGACGAATCTAGGGCAGTCGACAAAAACTGTCCAACCTACTAGTAGCTCAGATACCGACAAGGATCTGGTCTACACCATAGCAGGTGGATTCGCGAGTGGTGGCCCGACCATTCGAGGCACCAAGGATCATCTGAAAAGGATGATCCATTCGGTCAATGATGGACATGCGTCCACTAGTGGAACATTCCCAGACGTCCTCATCAGTGAAAAGGATCGGGACAAAGTTCGTCGACCGCATGATGACCCAGTCATCATCGAATGCAAGGTCGCCAACCAGCTGGTTAGCCGGATCCTCATTGACATAGGTAGCTCTAATGATCTTATCATCTACAAGTGTCTATCCCGGCTTAATTATAAGTGGGATGGCTTGCGTGACGTCTCCCATCCACTAGTTGGCTTTGGGGGTGGGGTTGTGCACCTAGTCGGACAAATTGACATACCCATCCGGCTTAATGAGTGCAACTGTGCAAGGCCGTCATCATCCCAGCCCTCATGCTTCTCAAGTAAAAAAGGCATGATGGTACTATTGGCTCCCTTAATGGGGACAAAAGACGACTAGGGAGTGCTATCTCTCGGACGTCTAGCCGACTGCTGCTACAGCCGGTCAGCTGAAAGAGCCAATAGACCTTGACCACGTTAAGGACCCTAATTCACCCCCTCCAACAGCCGCAAAGAAAAGAAAAACTGAAAAGCTGGTGGAGGTGAAGAAGGAGAAGAAATAGCAATCACTGACTGGGGAACAGTAAGATGATCTCCGTCCCCAGCCGACTGGAGAGCACGTTGATATTCCTCTGGACGAAAGCCGTCCAGAGCGAACTGTTAAGGTGGGGACGGTTGCTTTTGAATGGTTAGGTGCAGATTTGCACCACCTGCTGAAAGAATTCAAAGACATCTTTGCCTTTGAAGTGGAGGAGATGCCAAGCATCAACCCGGATCTTGCCGTCCACAAGCTCGTCGTGGATCAAAAAAAGAAGCCTATTCGGCAGAAGAAAAGAAACCACAGTGACGAAAGAAGTCAGGCGGAAGCTGCCAAAGTTTAAAAGCTATTGGACAATGGGTTCATTAGGCCATGTAACTTCCCCGAGTGGGTGTTGTATGTTGTGCTTGTCAAAAAGTCGAATGTAACCTGGCGTATGTGTGTTGACTACACAGATCTCAACAGGTCATGTCCAAAGGAAAAGTATCAACTTCTAAAGATCGACAGTCTTGTCGACTCTACAGCTGGTCATGCCCTGATTAGTTTTACGGATGCCTACTCTGGCTTCCATCAGATACCCATGTGGAAAAAAGATCAAGAGAAGATGGCCTTCGTCATTGATCAGGGGTTATTCTGCTATATTTTGATGCCGTTTGGGTTGAAAAATGCGTCTGCTACTTTCCAGCGAATGATTAATACATTCTTTATTTATCAAATTGAAAGGAACGTAGAGGCGTCCATTGATGATATGACAGTCAAATCTAAACTCCACGCGGATCATCTTGCTGATCTCCGAAAAACATTCACCACACTAAGGCGGCATAAAGTGATGTTAAATCCCAAGAAATGTGTCTTTGGTGTTGAGTCAAGGAAGTTTCTCAGATTCCTAATTGATCAAAGGGGGATAGAGGCTAACCCCAAAAAGATACAGGCGGTCATTGACATGAAGTCACCCCACACTGTCAAGGAAGTTCAGAAGCTCACTGGTTGTCTGGCGCCATTGGGAAGATTTCTCATTCGCTCAAGTGATAAATGCTTATACTTCTTCTAAGCAATCAAGAAAAAGACTCGGTTTGAATGGGGGAATTATGCTGAGGCGGCCTTTCAGAAATTGAAAGAACATTTACACTCCTTGCCAAGGCTTGTTAGCCCTCAGCCAAAGGAGACGCTCTTTATGTACTTAGCCGTTTCAGACTATTCCCTCAGTGTCTTCCTTCTTGATGAAAGGGATGGCATCCAGCTCCCGGTCTATTTCATAAGCCATGTGCTACGAAATGCTAAACTCCGGTACCCCATGGTTGAAAAACTTGGCCTTGCCCTTTACATGGCTGTCAAGAAGTTGAAACCATACTTCTTGGCCCATCCGGTGGTGATCTATACAGATCAACCCCCCAAGCGGCCAATGACAACCCTAGACTCATCCGACATAATGCTTAAATGGGCTATTGAAATGCAGAGTCTTGAAATCTCCTACGAACCGAGAAAGGCAGTGAAGGGTCAGGCGTTTGCCGACTTCATTATCGAAATGACAAGG